TGAACAAAGCTGGATGGGCTGCTTTTCTTTCTTCTCCTTGAGAAAGAGATGCCAAAGTTGACACCATTATGAAATTTTAGGAAAAATTACCACTTTTGAACCAAAAAAGGATGCTTTCCTTTCCTTTTCCCCACTGCTCTGGCTTTAAAGAATGAAACATTTCCTTTGCTTCAAAAAAATCTTTTAACATAAAAAAATACATTAAAAGGGTTACAGGCATTTTAAAAGGCAGAGACGTTACTTTAATTGACATTCACACATTTGATAGCTTCTCACCCTCTTTGTCATTGAGACATGCTAGAAGTTCAGTGCACATTTGTTGACAAACAAAACACATCCCTTGAAAAAGAAAACTTCATGGGGCACCTGCATTTTTAATTCTTAGTTTTACCGACAAACTTCTCCATGCTCCTTTACAACCAGTACAGTACCAGTGCAGCTTTACAAAGCAAACGGCCCTAAAAAGCTAACTCTACAATCTTTTAACTCCTGGAGCATTACAGACAACATTACATTGTGCAGACAAAAACTGAATTATATGCTTAAACTTAAATTTGTTCCGACCTGTCTGAAATCTAGTCCACTAGAGTAAGTGACATCTATGCAGTGCGCATAAATCTAGTTGAGTACAGGTATCACAGACAGATAAAAGGACGGAAGTTTCACAGCTGACAATAGATAGGATTTCTGCAAACTCCACAAGCATATTCCAAGAACAGAGCTGACTACCAGATCGGTTTTTAAAAAAAGTATTCTGTGCATAACATTACATATATCACAGTAAAAAACACAAGTGAAAAAAGATGACAGTACGTAGTTAACCTAATCACTGAGGTAGAGCATCAAAAAAATTAAGGGAGACAGAGACAGAATGAGAAGTACCATGCTACGATACGTAGCATTTGAAGATGAAGCCAGGAAGTTAAATAGGTGTCAAGAGCTACTGAACAGATTCAAGAAAAAGTTGAACATTTAGAGTAGCATAAAGGAGTTTTTCTGCTGCATTCTAGCTGGCGGTTATCCCGGTCAAAGGCAGAAAGGAGGAAACAAGCTCATGTGATGTTTTAATTTAAAGAAGATAAAAAGACTGGGAAAATACAAAAATTGTCTAAAATACAAATGGATTTGCCCATCTGAAAGACGGGCAACTTTGTTTGTCACATCTAAGTCTCTAGTCTCTCCACTCTCACAAGCCATTCAGGAAAGTGATGAAGCCTAGGACACCACAGACACACACGTTATGCTCTTTTGTTCAGCAAGAGGTAATTACACAAGATTGTGGCCGGATGTTAGGCCCAGTAGTAGACTAACTAAAACCAAGAATGTAGGTTCAAAACCTTGTAAGGCACATAAAAATATTTGTTTTTACACAAATATTTGCCAGAACCAATGAAATGCATATTTGAGAATACAATGATAACCGTGAACTAAAATACAGTAATTTGAAGACAGAGCGTGCAAGAAGAACACCCAGAAAAAATACCACCCTAAATTTAAAGGGACTAGCACCAATCTGTCAGAACAGACTTCGTACTGCCTCCAGCGTATTGCTAAGGCACTCTCTTGACTATACACAGGAAGGCAGCAAAGAGTCCGTAATCCAATAATACGTGCTAGGTATCATGCTAGTGCACCACAGCCTTAAGTAAGCATGGGTTTATATATTTCTTAACATGAAGTGACAATCCCATTCCATAGGCGGGGGGGGGGGGTGGTGGTGGAAATCAAGAAAGCATGAAACCAAGAAGTTTGCCAAAAACTTCCAAGATTTTAGACTGCATGTTTTCTTTCACAAGCTATGTAGCAGTCTTTAGATACTCTTAGACTTTCAGATGAGGTCTGCACCTTCACTACAAGCAGCAATCAAGTTTTGACGAACTTGTATTAAGCTACTGTCCTCCAAAAACGCTGTTGTGCATCTAGCTTCAGGCAACACTACCGGCAAGAGCAGCAGCAGTCTAGTTAGAAGCATTAATGAGGGGTTGTTTTTAAACGTACCGCAATTTTGCTTTGCCCGTTTTTACAGTTTACAAAGCCCTTTTCATAGTTTCTATTATACCATGGTTCGAGTCGAGGGAAACCCCTATACAAAGAGCAAACCAACTCAACACGTGTACAAGCCAACATCTGAAACGCTGAAAGCCTTCCTTTCATCCTGAAAAGGTGGCAAGAAAACACCCATGTGTAGCAATTGCTGTTAAGTAACACCTTAGATACGCAACCTACTTTCAGCCGGCGTTTTCCTTTTGCCGTCGCGGGGGGGGGAAGAAATAATAATTTAATAAATAAATAAATAAATAAATAAATAAATAAATAAATAAATAAATAAATAACGAAAAAAAAAACAACAATACACACACAGAAAAAAATAAAAAGAGGCACTGCAAGCGCCGAGGGGGAGCGATGAAAGGCGAAGGCGGCCGGCCAGCACGGCACCTCTCCCCCCCGGGCCCCCCCCCCCGCTTTGTTCCGCGGGTGGCCGCGCAGCCGAGGGGCGAAGCCCCCGGTGTCGGGGCAACTTCGGGGCGCGGCGGCCCGGCCCGGCCCGGCTCTGCCCGGTGCCGGCAGAGGGCGAGGCGGGCGTCTCGCCGGGAGCCTGTTTTTGTTACACGGGGAGGGGAGGGTGTGTGTGTGTAGAGGGGGGGGGGATGGTATTTAAATGTCCTGCTGTCGATCACCAGGCACTTCCCACGCAGCCGCCAGCTCCCCGGCCCGCACGCCGGCGCCGGGGCTCCCCCACATAATGGGGGCGACAACTCGGAGCCCCGCAGCCCCAGCCCGGCCGAGCCGCTTGAGCCGCGGGCCCCCAACTTGCTCCTTTGTTTAACTGCCCGTGAATCCCCACCGCCTCCTCCTCCTCCTCCTCCTGCTCGCAGCCGGGGCCTTTATTATTCACACGCTCGTCTCGCAAAACACACGCGAGTCGGCGGCGGCCGCTCGGGACCGGGCTGGAAACGTCAAAGCGGCGAGAGGTGCGGGGCGACCCCTCCTCCCTCCTCCGCCCACCCCAAACGAAACGCACGGCGAGCCAGGAGCCCGGGGGAGAGCCCCGGCACCCGGCGCGGTGCCCCCCCCCCCACCCCTCCGCACTTCTCCGCGAAAAGACCGCCCTGTCCCGGGAGAGACCCCCCCCCCCGGAGGAGCGGGGCAAGAGGGGAGGGGGGGACACAACGCCTCCCCAAAGCCGGCTCAACTTTAGGGAAGGGGGGGGGGTGGAAGCAGGGGGGGGGGGGGGGGGGCGCCGGCCCCGCCAGCGAAGCCGCCGACCCGGGAGCGCCGCATCTGTTGCTCTTTCATAACCGGCCTCGCCTCGCCCGGCCCGGCCGCCCCCTTCGCCAGCGAGGACCCATGTGCCCGGGGACGGCAACCTTCGCCGGTACCGGCCGCTGCCACCGCCGCCGGGGGGGGAGCCGGAGCGGACAGGAGCCCGTTCCTTCCCCCCCCCCCCCCCCCCGCCCCCGGCTCGGTGCTGCCGCCGCGTAGCCATTGTCCCCCGCGGCCGTTCCCGGGAGGGGGGTGACCGCCGGCGCCCGGCCGACCGACCGACCGACCGACCCGGCGGGTTCCCCCCCCCGCCGCCGCCGCCGCGCCCCCCCCCCCCCCCCGCCGCCTACCTGCCGTGGAACCAGTCCTTGCAGATGTCGCACTCGATCATGAAGCGGCTCACGTCGTAGGGCTCCCGGCACACGCAGTACACGGGGGTCGCGGCGGCCGCCGCCGCCGCCGCTCCGGCCATCTTTAAAGAACTCACTGACTGAGGCGCCCGCCCGCTCCGCCTCCCCCTCCCTCTGCCGACGGCCGGCGGCACCAATAACAACAGCGCGCGTGCCAGCCCCACACGCCGCGCGCGCCCCGCCGCCGGCAGGCACGGGCGGGCGGCGCGGGAGCGAGCGGACAACAGCGCGCGGGGGCGCGCGCACGTGCGTCACCCGCGCGCGCGCGCGCGCACACACACACGCGCCCCCCCCCCCCCCCCCGCTCCGGGAGGTGGAGGAGGAGGAGGAGGGGGGGGGGGGGGACACGACACACCGCCCCCCCCACCGTCCCCGCTGCGCCTGCGCACTTCGGAACGCCCCCGCCCCGCGAGAGGCCGGCACGGAGCGTGCGCGGGGGGAGCGGGCTCCCATTGGGCGAGGGGCGGGGGTTGAGGGGGGGGGGGGGAGCGCACGTGCCGTTTGCCCTCGGCTCCCCCCCCACCCCCCCTCCCCACCCCGCGGGAGGCGGGGCGCGGGAGGCACGCGCTGGCCCTGCCCGCCCCCCCCCCCCCCCCCGCCCTCCGCCGGGCGGTGTCACGCGGGGAGGGGGAGGGGCAGGGTGCCGCGAGGACACGGGCGGGGGGGGGCGGGCGGCGGCGCGCGCGCCGGCTCCCCCCCCCCCCCCCCGCTCCGTTATGCAACCGGCGGCGGAAACGGCCGAGCAGCGCCGAAGGCGCCCGAAGGGCCCCGACTTTGTTGTCGGGCCGCGCAGGCGCGTCCCCCGCTCCACTTCCCCCCCACCCAGGGCGGTGGGGTGTCCCGGGTGGCAGCGCCCGTGGGTCGCGTCCCGCGGGGCCGGGGGCGGCGGCTGGTTCGCCCCGGTTCCTCGGGAGCGGGGACATCCCGCGGGGGAGACGGGGGGAGCAGCCGGGGGCTGCTCCAGGAGGTTTCCGTGGGTCTTAGTCCTTCTCGCGTGGACTCAGTACAGGTAGCTGAACACCCAACCAAGGGTCACAAAAAGTCAGCGTGAAATAGTGTTCCTTTACAGCGGGGTTTTGTTTTGTTTTTTTTTTTTTTTAAGAAGAAGGTTTATCCCAACTCTCCAGTGCGCAAACTGAATTCCACCTGTGGAATTTAGCTTAAAATGGAGATTTTTTTTTTTTTTTTTTTTTTTTCCCCTGCTGACAGGCAGTCTCCAGCACTTCCAGAGATGATGTTGTAGAGGGCGTGGGGAGTCATGTCCTCCACGCTGAATGTACCAATTTAAAAGTGAAACAACAAATACCTTGAAGCGCACGCACACTATGGTGATCGTAACTGTAATAGACTAACCGCGCATACGGCATTATAATTTTGTATCCCATGCCCTTAACCACCAGTAGCCACAAAAAACCACACTGTATGTTTGTTTGGCAGGGGGAAGCTCAGAAGTAAATGTTTCCTTTCCAGGCTGTTATTGTGAAGCTAGCTAATGTTAACATTTATATAAGACAGCAACATGAGATGATGACTTGGCAGCAAATTGGACAGAAAAAGAAATGTAAAACAAATAAATCCAGCACGCAGGCTGTGTGACTGAACGGAGGATGAAATACAGGAAACATAAAGGATGTCTTACAAGAACTACCAGATCCTGACCTATTTAGAAAGTGCATGTGGTTCTGACCTGCAGGATGTCATTAGTGGGTGTTTCGGTACTCATGTTTTCCAAGATACCCCGACGTATTTCCAACAAATTGTTGTATTTCAGCAACTCGGAATGTGGCCACAGACAAATCAGTCCTCTAAAAAGCTGATGTTGAGCTTATTAGTGGTAAAAAAAAAAACATCAGCAAGGTAACAAATGATGATTTCAGGGTTTCTGGAAACAATACATACCAAAAGGCTTTCTCATGAAAAATAATGGTTCTCCTTTACCGACCTGATTCAAAAGCACACCCAGGAAGATGCATATTAATGGTAGGGCCTGCAAGCTCTTGCAGAAACAATTACAGGGAATATAACAACTACTACCAAGAGACAACTAGCTGCTCAAGTTCAAGTTGTTGCTCTGTGTTTGCGCAGCGAAGCGTCAGTGTGTGTAGCCACGCTGGAGTCTGAAAATGAACAATTCTTTGCTCCTTAGTTTGCCGCTTCTCAGGTTGTCACGTCGCAAGTTTTATCTTGAAGCTGCAGTCACCAGCTGCACTTGTAACTTTATCCAAGGTGCCCATAAAAACACACACATGCCGCATTTCAGGAGGCGTCTGCAAACGACAAAACTCTTAAGGGCCGTGGTAAAGCGCGCCGTTGGGTATTCCTGTAGGAGATGGGGGTGAGGCTGCCTAACCTGCGTTGCGTGGCGAGGAGACCTTGGTTTGTTCAGGGTGAGTCCAGTGTTCGTGGGCTGGAGGAGGAAGTTTTCACTTGACGTGGAACAAAGCTGCCCGGCGGCGCGAGTGCAAAGAACGAGGAAGCCGGCTGGGCTCGGCACGCTGAGGGGACCTTCCCTTGATTACTGCAACAAACTTGGGTTTTACGGAAAAGAAAGAAGTTGCGACCGTAAGCACGCAAAGCAAAGCTCACCATTTAATAAGCATTTTTCTCTGCTGCCACACACTACGTCCTTTTGCTGCTGTGATTTAATTCAGAACAAGGTGTGTTAGTGATTCAGTCTGCTGTGAGCACTCCTCAAGCAGGTGAGGAATACTGACTTCATCTGTCGTAAAAAAGAAGCGTAAACCCGCTCCATCTCCCTCTCAGTCTCATCTGCTCTCTGTCAGCTTTTCTCTTTCCAAGCTTTCTTTCCTACCACACTGAACTATACTTGAATGTAACACAGCAAAAGTTCAGAAAAGCCAAAGACCACGTACTGTGAGAGAATTATAAAACCACTTTTAATAAGTATTCTTCCCTGAAACTTGGAGAGCTTTTATATGCCCATCTTATCAAATGCAGTTTAGAAACAAAAAAATGCAATACCAGCCTCGAATGTAAACAAATAAATGAAGCCAGTTTAGAGCCCAATCCCCAAAAAACTTCAGAAGCAAGCTCATTATTCACGGCAACACACTGACGCCTGGAGAGACCTGGGACCGTAGCCCTCTCCGTTCTCAGCTCCCAACCGGCAAGACATGCCAACTTGAAATATGAGGTACAGAGTGCCTTGTAATAAGCAACATAGGATTTATATGCTTGGTCCCTGGATGAAGTCTGACAGCCAAAAGCAGGCGAGACAGCTGTGCCACATGGCTGGGGAGGGCTGAAGAACCAGCTTTAGAGGAGCAAGTAGCTGTGGAGATCCAGAGGCAGGAGGACAAGGGGTGGAAACGGTGACAGAGGGCGGTGAGAAGTAAGCAGGCAGGAGCAGTGAGGCTTTTTGTAAGAAAGGAGAGGGGCCACCCGAACGCATCAGCCATTCTCAGGCTTTTCTAACCATCCCTAACCCACCGCTGCTTCCCGGTGGCAGCGTGCCCCCCTGCCCTCTCACTGATGCACGGACACTGCCACGCTCCACGCTCGAGGTTGCACCCAGCCTACCATCCCCTCGGCAGCTGGAGCAAGCCAGTTGGTCCCTTAAACCATGCCCCCAGAAAAATCTTTCCAACCTATACACCATCAAAACGTGGCCTGAGCAAGCCCCACTGGCTGCCCCCAGCCCTGTGCCCAGACTCCAGCAAAGCCGGTTAAAAACACAGTCCTGAGGGCTGGGGCTAGCGGGGGTGAACAGCTCCGGCGCTCAGAAGTACGGGCCGGTATACAAAGAGCATCGGGTCTGCCAGCACTAAAGTCAGAGTTAGGAATTGGGTCACCCAGGACTAAAGAGCATCACCTCCTTCTTTGCCCCTCTGGGCAAGCCCAAGTGCTGGTAACCAGCGAGGCAGAAGGCTTCGGGTTATGTTTGGAGGAATGTTGGCTGATAGTTTATGGTTAAGGCTAGAATCAGGCTTTGGGGTAGAAAGGGCTGAAAGTCTAGGATTATTCACAAATAATGTAAGGATTGCAGAGATATGATACGGACCGGTACCCAGTTCTTGTCTTTTGGGGATAGGGCTACAAAAGCACTAGAGCTAACCAAATCAAGCAGTTTCCTGCTAGGGCTGGAGAGCCAACGGATGCACTCGACATAAAGTCTGGGGTGAATTATTGCCATGGGTGGGCAGCAGAGGCTAGAGAAAATGTCAGGAATAGGGAGTACGGCTCAGAACAAAGGAGCTAGAATGATAGGAAGAGGATACAGTCTCCTAGCACTACAGTACATGCTTGTGCATATGACTTGTAATTAGCTATGGGTCAGGTATGGCTCACTGTCGTACAGGCCAGTACAGAGTCAGGATCAGAGTGAGATTTAGGCTGTGGTGCAAACTACAGGTCACATTAGCCAAGACCATTGATAGGGGTCGAGTGTGGGAATTTTTCTGTGGTTAAAGTTACTGTTAGAGATCAAAAAAAGCAGAGTCTATGGAATTCATTTCACCCTGCACGCTCTGCAGACTACATCTATAGGCACATCATCTTCTGATCTCCCCCAAAGACAATCTTTGCCATACAACATCCTTCGCCCACAAGTCTAGTATTTTCTAGCTATTCCTAGATCTTCAGCAAGGTTCATGGTGGGCTGAGGGCTAGTATCATCAGGGAAAAATGGTTTGTCGGTGTCTCTAGGATACTGGGCTATGATTAGAGGTAAGGGTCTTGGCAAGCAACCTATTCTTATCAAGGACATGACTACCAGCACTCTGCTCAGCAGCAGGGAGGAGGGGATGACAGCAGAGAACACTCATCATTGCACAATAAAAGCATCAGCAGTCCATGCCTGGCTTTGTGCCTCTCCCAAAGCACGTGCCATATGCTCTAGGTGGCATTCAGGGAGGATAAAGAAGGGGGAGCAGGGCAGGGAGGTTGCCAGAAAGGAGAAAGGGAAATTTTCTGGGACTTTTGTCACTTGCGGGTACTGGCGGAACCACATACACGTGCACACAAATACACCTACTTGTCTCTTGAGAGCAGAGGAAGAGCTCACACGCATCAGTCAGAGGACAGTGGCTCTCACCTGGCAGGGCACGGCTGGTTACACAAATACCAGAGATGATACTCAGCAGACAAAGAGGTGGCGCAGGAGCAGCCGAGACTAGGGAGAATCAGAAACAAAACCCCAGAAACTATTGGACACTTCCAGAATAACATGAAAACAATCAGATAAATTGTTGGAAAAGCGTGGGGGTAGAGGTAGTTTCCCCATGTTCGGTCATTTCTTCAGTGTATTTTTGTACATTTTGGAAAAACACTCATTTTTAAAATTATTTATTTATTTTTCACATCAGAAGACTTAAGGCTGCCAAAAAGCAAACCTCCAGACTAAAAAAGCATTCCAGTTCTCTGCATGAAGCTGCCCGAAGTATACCCAGAATTGGCAATATGATCTTTGCATCTGCGGAGAAAATACTGAGTCATGTTGTCAGCCCACACACATCTAACAAAAATAAAAGCAGCCCAACGTTTCAGGATTCACCCACTCGTCATTTAAAGAAAACACAAGTCATTCAGTCATGCCTCATGCTTCAGAGACCTTTAGAAAACACCCAGTGCAGGGAACATTCGCCCACGTCGTGCCCACGCGCCGTTTCGAGCCAGTGATGTCGTTCGCAGCTCGTTCACTTGCGGGTCTGGACAGTGTTTGGTTCAGCATCTTTGGAGGAAGTTGCCGAGACTTAAAGGTTTCTGCTGAAAACACGAGATGATAGCTGCAGCCTCAGCCCTCCTGCCAGCAACACTGAAATGGTGCAGCGCAGCGTACCCGGCTTGAATCCCCGGAGGAGGCAGGAAAGCACCCTGTGCTTCGTTGCATAAAAGATCTGGCAAACTTAAGCCACAGTTTATGTAAGATGCTACTGTACTCTTCCTTCAAGGGTTAATCCTGTCCTGAGGCATTAGTTCTCCCTGTGCTGGGCTCCCGGGTCGCTCAGCGCACATTAAACTGGGAAGTATTTGCACAAACATCAAGATTTGAGGAATTACCCAGGAAATCCTCCTCCTTCTATCCCTTCCCGCATCGTTGTCCCCTAGCAAGAAAAATCAAGTTCCTGCATTTCACCCGGCGGCTGGCAACCTCTCTTACTCCTTCAGTGCTAAAAGCTGCTTGAAGCATTCGCAGCTGAACCTGGATGTGCGGCAGCCAGCCCCGCTCATGACGGAGGGGGAGACGTCACTGCACGGAGGACGCGGAGTTACACAATCTCTGTGGTGCTGAAAGTGGCGCTGGAAACTTGTTAGGAGCCCAAAGGCCGGAGCTAATTTGTATTTTCTTGTACACAGCATGATCTTAATCAGAGCGCAAAGCACCCGGTTGTGTGTGATGTACGGAGCGTTATAAGCAGAGACAAGTTAACGGAGCGACTAGGGGCAGGACGCGCAGGGAGGAACATTAGACGGGGGAAGGAACGGCAGGCAAATCTCCTACGCCCAATTCATCAGCATTTCCTTGGTTCTTCAGGAAGGCCACGTGCTGTGAAACAAGAGGCTAGGAGGCAACTTCATTGAAATGCTGGGATTGCCTTATTCTCTTTAAAAGAAGGAAGAAGAAAAAAATGAAAAAAAAAAAAAAAAAAAAAAAGACCTACAAAAAACTTGAGGACAAGCTTATGTGGAGGAGCTCTTCCCAGAGGTTCTGGATGTGTCACCAAATGAAACATGGAGTTCAGGAAACCCCTCTCACGTGCAGCCAGTATTCGACAGCGGCCGAGTCCAGGTGACCTCTAACATAAGCTCCGCCGGCCCCAGCTGCAAACAGGCACGTGCGAATTCCCCTTTACAACCAATTTTCTGCCTTGCTGAGAGCAGACAGCGCAAAGGGCTGGCACAGCCCCCCCAGCGCCGCCGTTCCCAGCACAGGCTCCCCTCCAGCTCCCCCCTTTCCACGCTGCGACGGCCGGAGAGCAGGAATTGGGAGTCAGGTCCTCATTCGGTCACCTCTTCGCGGCCGGGCTCGCAGCCGTGCCCCCCTTCCCGGGACGCAGCGTCAGGGTGCACCCTTGCGTGCTGCCAATGTGTGCCGGAGAGGGAGCGGGGCAGCAGGTTAACTGGAGAGTAAATACACCTTGATATTTCTTGATTTGTTTGCTTTGTGGTCCCGATAGGTTTACTGGAAACTCAGAGGTGGGGTTTGCTGCCCCGGGGAGCGCTATAGCTGAAGAAAATCCTTCATTTCAGCCGGCCTCTCTTTACCCACTGGGAATAAATGCTCCTTTCCCCCTCAGTTCAGCTTTATTCCTTGGCAGCTGAGAAAAAGAAAGGGATAAAAAAAAAAAAAAAATCAAACCTGTGACTTTTACTTTGCTCTGGAGCATGTGTTGTTCGCTGTGTAGTTCAGGACAGGATGAGCTGCATGTGAGGGATATAAAAGGAAAGCTGTCAGACAAGCTCATCTCTAGCTTCCTACATTCAGCCCGATAAACCCTACTCCTGGAGCTTTATCCCACCAGCTAACCCCTTTCCATTGTAGCCCCCAAAAGCAGCACCCTCTCTGCTCTCAACCCTCTTCGACGTGCTCCTCCACCCCCCTCCCCCGTGCACCTTTGTCCCCCCCCGACTCAAACAGCTCCCCAAGGAGCTCAGGCACCGCCAGGACGTGGGGATGGAGAGAAGGGAAGAGAGAGTCGGCTGAATATGCAAACAATCCTATTTGCACCCCAGCATGTACAATCCAGGTCTTTGTCAGCATGATGGAATACACGCCGCCTTGTTTGTTTTCCTTCCCCGGCCTCACCACACACGCCCTTTCCATATGAGCGTTATCAAATGCTGTACCTGAATCGGCGTTTTCAAGACAGAGGCTGGCTGCTGCTTGACTAATATCTGCCCACCAGCTGCATATTTATTTTGCTCAAAGATGACAGCCAACCATAAAATCTAGTGTAAAATCTACAGCTGCCGTTATTAAAAAAAACCAAAAAAAACAACACGAACAAGCAAACAAAAAAAAAAAAAAAAAAACAAGAAGAAGCACCGAAAAGCTTTTCCATGCTTGATGTCCGATGCCCCTGAGGCATTGGGTGGAAGTGCTTTCAACTGCACGAGCAGCCCTTGCGTGGACGCAGCCCTGTCGCGACCGGCGCGCCGCTGCTTTTGCGCTTCGAGGCGGCGCGTTCGGGAACCTGCCCCCCCGCCCCCGGCCGCAGGGACGCGCCTGCCGCGCGGGTATCAGCCGGTCCCACCTCGCATCGCCCCGGACAGACGGACACCCCAGGACGGGAGGGACGTCGGGGCAAAGGTGCCAAGCGCTTTCACGGCTCGGGGTGGCGGTGGCAGCCGCAGGAGCAGCGCTGGCAGGGCCGCGGGCCCGCCAGACAATAGCTCTCTCCCCGCTTTCTCTCTCCCCCCCCACCCGGCCGCGTCCGTCGTCCCCCAAGACGGGGGAGTCTCATGAATCAACTCAAACGCCCGGCGACAGGCTGGGGAAATCTATTAATATGCGCCCGCCGCAGCGCGCCGCCAGCCCCCCGGCCCCCCGCGCCGCTCACCTGCCTGTCTCACCCCTGGCAGGCAGCGCCCGAACAAAGGAGCAGCGGCCGCCCCCGAAACGGAGGGAGGCAGAGGCCGGAGACAAAGCTCATTCGCCGGCCGCCATGGGTGTGAGGAACGCGCCCGCTCGCCCTATTGTCTGGGGTCCTTTGTGTTCCTCCACACCCCACCCCCCCCCCGGACCCCAACCGCCCAGGCAGAACTACAGGGAGCAGGACAGGAGCGGCTGCGTTGGAGGGAAGCCCTCGCGCGCGCGGGAAAAGGCCTCCGGCCCTCGCCCCGCCGCGCGGGCCCGCCTGGCACACGGGCCTGAGCTCCTTCTGCCCCCGAGGGCGGGGGGGGAGCAGGGGGGGCTGCAGAGCAAGGAGGACAGACAGACCCGCGGGGGTTGTTCCTCTGTGCTGGCAGGACAGACAGACCCAGGGGGGTTGTTTTTCTGGGCCCGGGAGGACGGACAGACCCGGGGGGGTTGTTTCTCTGTGCTGGGAGGACAGACAGACCGGGGGGGTTGTTTCTCTGTGCTGGCAGGACAGACAGACCCAGGGGGGTTGTTTCTCTGTGCTGGGAGGACAGACAGACCCGGGGGGGTTGTTTCTCTGGGCCCAGGAGGACAGACAGACCCGGGGGGGTTTGTTTCTCTGCTGGGAGGACAGACAGACCCAGGGGGGTTTGTTTCTCTGGGCCCAGGAGGACAGACAGACCCAGGGGGGTTGTTTCTCTGTGCTGGGAGGACAGACAGACCCGGGGGGGGGGGTTGTTTGGGCCCAGCAGGACAGACAGACCCCGGGGGGTTGTTTCTCTGTGCTGGCAGGACAGACAGACCCAGGGGGTTTGTTTGGGCCCAGCAGGACAGACAGACCCCGGGGGGTTGTTTCTCTGCTTTGGGAGGACAGACAGACCCGGGGGGTTTGTTTCTCTGTGCTGGCAGGACAGACAGACCCAGGGGGTTTGTTTCTCTGTTTTGGGAGGACAGACAGACCCGGGGGGTGCTGTTTCTCTGGGCCCGGCAGCACCCTTCTGAGCACCTCCCGCTCCTTCCAGAGATTTGCCCCTGCGACCCCTTTAGGAGCTGGGGAATGGTCACCTCGTCCTGCGGCGGGGAGCGGGGGGGCCGCCCTCGCCCCACACCGCTGACAGCGGGCCGGCGAGCCCTGCTAGGCTGCGTTAGGTAGCAGTCCCAGCAGCACGGACTTCGGTGGGCTCCGAGCCCCCACCGCGTCCCCCGCGTCCCCCCCGGCTCCCTCAGGAGCGCGGACGCCTCTGCCAAACCAACGCTGCTTTGTCGAGCGGTGGCCGGGGGCCACCACCACCACCCCCCCCCCTCCCTGCAAGCCACAGCTGTGGCTGCAGCATTACAGCCCCCCCAAAGTCCTGCAGGGCTGGTGGCAGGACCCAGATTCCCTTGTCTCAGGGCAGAGCATTAATTGCCAAGCCCTCCCGAGGGGCCAGCGCCCAGCTGCAGCACGCTGCTCGGCTCTCCCCTCCCCGCCGCCGCACGCTGGCACTGGCGGGACCGGGATGGAGAGAAGGATTGGGAAGCCAGGTCCCTTCCAGCGCAGGGGAGCAGGGTGACCCCCGCAATGCCCGTGCCACCGCCCAAGCCGCCAGCCCCACGGCAGCCACAGCACGTGCGAGCGACCCACGGAAAGGTACCGCTCGTCTGGACGGGGCACACCAGTCCCTGCCCCGCGCCTCCCCGCCGGCACCGCTCGCACACGCGATCTTGGCCACGCGCGGAAACAACTGCAAGGTGGGCCTCGGTCGGGCAATACAGCCAAGGGGACGTAAGCAAAGAGAGAAAGGTGAGGTCCATAACCCAAGGGAAAATCTTCCACCTTGAGGATGGCACCCCAGAGCACGAAGGAACCCCGGCAGGAACAGCAGGGCTGGGCGCTCCGGCACAGAGGACAACAGGGTCGGGGAACGAGCACCAGGAAACTTATTGTATGGAGGCTGCTGATGGAGCCTGAAGGGTGTCTGTAGGGGACAGGGATGGTGAGGAGGCAGCCGTATACGTACAACTAAAGAGCTAATTTCTCAGTTTTGTGCTGGGAAAACAGTTTCTGACACTTTCTGGTACTAAGGAGTGCACATTAAAGAGGAAGGCTCTCTCCAAAGTTCGCTTTCTCTTTCTAATTTTTATTACATTTGAGGTATCCAAAATAAATTCTAAGTAGTTGTTGCAAAAAAAAAAAAAAAAGCTCCTACAGCTATCAACGAGGTGGTCTCCAAACAAGTTTTGTTCAGAAATAAGTTTTTCCTAAAGAAAACTGTAAAATTCCTACTTCGAAAAAGAAAAGCCCCTAGAAACCACGATATCCAAACAGCATTACTTCCCTCATTGAGCTCTGCACTTCACAATGAAGCTTCAGCAGCTCTTGTAAAGTATACTCATGCTTTATAAGCAGGAACCGCCCTGAGTTCAGTGGACAGGAGATTCCCAGTAACGTCTAAGTTGCGGAAGCAAGGCAGCTGATCCCAAAGCCGCTATGCAAGAGGAGACTTTGTGAGGGTAGAGAAAGCAAAAAGCCAGATAAAGCAAAAGGCCTTCATCTTGGACGGTAAAAAGTCAGGGGAAGGGGACAGATTGGAGTTGGGCAGGGGGTTGGCGGAGGAGCTCTGTGCCCCTTCCTCGACACCTCCCTGCTTGCCCAGGCAAATGGGGAGGGGGCAGCTCTGCTCCCCCCCCGGGCCCCAGGCCTGCACTGAGCTGCCGTTCCCGCACAGCGGCCTCTCAGCAGCTGGAGGGCCAGTTCCATCAGCCCAGAGCTGAACTAACGTGACTACGTGTTTTTGGCATCCGAGCTGGAGAGGCTGCCTGAGTTAATGAAGCTGATGGGAACGGGATGGGGTGTCACGAGGTGCCTCTTACTGAAAAGCAGGGAACTTCCCCCAGGCTGCCTTCAGCTCCTGCAGAGCACCCGGGTCAGTTTGTAACTTATTAACGTCAACACTCGCACGATCAAAGTTCAGCACGTGTTTAGTTGCTCTTCTGGAACAGTGGACTTGAAAAAGCGCATTGCACAGGTTTCCCAGGAGTAAAAGAGATGCCCAGAGAAAGCATGCCCCTGCCCCATCTGTCCAGAGACCCCCCCACTGCACTGCTGCACGTTTGGGTCGTGAGAACCCCGTTCATTCCCCACCCAGTGCCCGAGGAGCCAGCTCTGCCCAGCTACCGCACCCGTCTCCCTCAGGCCACGCTCCCTCCTCCCCTCCTGGCAAAACAGCTTTGCACCCCGGTGAAGCCTGAAAGGGTCCCCGGGTTTAGGAGGAAATTCTCCACCAAGAAGGGAGATTTATTTGCTTTCTGGTGAGATGAGTGGGTCCGTTGGCACACGCGTTGCATGTTTTAAGCGTCTCCCCTGCAGCTGGAACTTAACCCTAATCTAAATTACGCCTCCAGTGCCCTAATTTAAAGAAGTGTTCAGTAGACTATGTCACTTGGAAAATACATCGCTTTGCCGCTGGACAAGCGGGGATGGGTAACGGAGTCAGCGTTGCACCTCAGCATCAGATGAGAGCAGCGGGGCTGTTTCTCCCAGGAGCTGGAACCACGTGCAAGGGGTCTGCTGCGGTTCCCAAGGCCGGTCTCTTGCCGGGCCGTTAAACCCACGCAAGCCAGGTCGCCTCCAGAAGACACTCTGAGGATCCCAGGAGTGGTTTGCTATCTGCTGACCGCTGCTCCTGAGGAGCCGTTCCTTCGGGGGGCAGGGGAAGGGAGAACAGCCCTGGCAGACGTGGAGCGTGGTCACCCCACTGGTGGCAGAGGGTACGCGCAGGGGTGCTGCAGGGAGGGCAAAGAGAAAAGGAGG